TTTTAACTCTTTGCTCTCCTTAATTTCTATTACCTACCAGCTTCTTTATTTATAAAATAGATCAAAAAGGAGTTCTCAATAAAATCTATTGAAACAGTGGAGTATGTGAGACAATGAGTAAACACATTTTTCATTTATTATAAACAGTAAATTAATGAAAATTCAACCATTATATTTATCTGAATTATTTATCAGATCTAACAATAAGAGAAATGTGATGTCGAGCCACACTCAACATAAGAGTATAAAGGGTTAAGAGTCTTCACCTAAAACTTTAACTTCTTATATTAAAATTGAAAAAAGTTTTGAATTTTACTATGAAAACCTTCAACCTTTCCACGTTTTCACGTTTCTGAATTTGTATTCATATTCAACATTTAAATCTACTGAAATTATTAATGTGTTGAATATGTCTAAATATGTTAAAACAATTGTATGTTAACTTATATATTAACAATTATAAAGTATGTTATAACAATTTTTGCAAAGTTTATCATTTCAATAGTTAGAATGAGTAGCTTCTTTGTAAGAATTTTTAGTGACTGGGTCTTAAACGTTCTAGTATATCAAAAGTGTTATTTTAATGAAGTGTAACCATTAAGGGCTGAAAAGGTCGCAGAAACAACATATTCACCACTGAATAATTTCTTCTTACAATTTATTCAACGCTAAACATTCTCGAATATACGCCATTTATGTGAAGTTACACTAATTAAAAATGCATAAACAAACGACAAAACGTAATTTAATATACAGATTAACTCTGCCGTTTAATAACGTATCACACTTGTAACGTTACAGTACGGATATAAAAAACTTCGTATTTGCAACACGATTGAGTTTGTAATTTAATACCAATTATAATTTGCATTATCAAGGATTCTTAAGTCCAAAATATATCTATCATTTCAACTACCCTTATTTGTTTTAAGACTGCGACGATAATTCGTTAACTTTGATTGACGCACCTAACGAGGAAATCATAGGCCAAGTTGAGCCGTTTATTTTCAAAATGACTAAGTCCAGTCCTAAGTCCATTTATCAGATGTCCGTTGTTAATTTTAGTAACACATACTTGATGTTAACTATCATAAAAAATTTTACGGTTAAATATATTCAGAGTATACGATAATTTTGGACATTTTTTCGCAGTTACTTTGATAGTTGAAAAATTAACTGAAAGTGGCCTAAGTCCAATCTATTGATAATGTTAGAAACCGTGGATTTTCAAATGTCCACAGTGATGATGGTAATTACAATTATTAATTAGTTAATGTAATAATTAATTAGTATTAACACGATATACACCGAAGCACCATGACTTCAAATCCCTTCCGCACACACGAAATGTAAACGAGCAGTAAATTGTCATGTAATTTATATAGTTGGATTTCCTGAATCGCATAAATGTTTTTCAAGTGTTGTAATGAAATATAAAAGAAATTGAATATTGTTTTTTCAATTCGAAACATTTTAAATTATATCGAATGGACTTGGCTGTTTCTTTGATGACAAATCTAGTTATTAATTTTGAAAGTGTCCATTCTCGGTAAGAAGACATTCGCTTAATAATTGCTATTATTTCAATAGGAATTGTAAATTTAACTCTCTTAGATACACTTCAGTGTAATACATCGGTATCCTATTTCTAATTTCCTTGAAACGCATACTATCTCAATTTAAACATAAACGGATTTAGGCCACTTTCAAAATGAACGGCTCAATTGTTCATTTCAGTAAAAGTTAGCACATAATTCACAAATAACATCTTAACAAATTTTGCGATTTAAGTAAACCTTATTTGATCAGTTTGGTTTGTTTCAAAAATTCTCGACTTATAAAGCTGTAAGTTAGTAAATTTTAATGAGAAACTCATCCAGTATTAGGTTCAGTATTAACGTTGCATTTTGAAGACCATGTCACCCAGTAACTATTTTCAATTTGCACTAATAATACATTAACCCTTTGCACCCCTTAATTTCTGTTACTTACCGAGTCCTTAATTTACAAAATGGATGAAGAAAGGAGTTCTCCTAACCTAACCTAACCTAACTCTTTACACTCCTTAATTTCTTTCACTTACCAACTCCTTAATTTAGTAGTCGGCGTATTTTTTTTTTTTTTTTTTAATTTTTGTGACCTCTAGTGGTATATTGAATGTATTACAATAATAACAATTATGTTGAGATTCAATTTTGGTAACCTAATACTCCGAGTATTTTTGGGACCTCTAGTGAAAACTTGATGAGCTCAAACGATTTTTCTTTATATTACAGTCTATTGGCCAGGTGAGACAAAGACAATAAATATTTGGTTTGCAAAAATAAGACTTTATTTTGCCAGGATTTTGATGCCAGGAAGCAATGTTTTATCAGGATTTCTTTTCTAGAGTATTCTCTGTATAATTCTCCGATGTGGTGAAGAGGTTTTTTTGCGAAAATGGAACATGAACAAATTTCTTCCATAAAAACTCGAGTGTTTCCTTCTCCTAAAGTTTTAAGAGTAAAATTGCGAAATCGAGCTCTTTATCGCTCTAAAGAATTATACAAAGAATATTTTGGGAAGGAAATGTCAAAATTCTTGGCTTCGAAATCCTTCAAAACGAAGTCTTTTTACACATTTTTGAAAACATGTCCCTGTCTCTTGTGAATAAAACAAAAATAAAGCAGGATCGCACTTATTTATTTTGTGCTATAGTTGCTAAAAATCGTAGCCAGAATTGGTCACCAGAGTTGACTCTTAACACTTTGCACTCCCTTGTTACGTGTGAGTCGACTTTTCTCTTGGATCTTATAAATAAAGCAGATAAAGAAATTGATTAAATATGTATATTATTATTTACTTACTACTTGTAATAAAAGAAAAATATATTTATCACATATTTCATCCTGTTGCAATGCATTTTATTGAGATTTCTTCATCAAATTAGTAAGTAAAACAAATTAAAGAGTGCAAAATGTGAGGTTAGGTTAGAAGAACCCCTTTCTTCATCCATTTTGTAAATTAAGGACTCTGGTTCCCAAATATAATTGTATTATTATTGTAACACATTGAAGATTTCACGAGAAGTCATAAAAATCCACAAAAAATACTCAACTACTCAATCACCAAATATAATTCTTATTGCACCACAATTGAGGGTGAAAGTAATGATGCTATTAAAAAAACTCCTTCCAACGTTGGAACACGATATTCGTTTATTCGGAGTTTTATAAAATTGGTAATACAAGCAGTGAAGAAGAAAATAAAAATGCTCGTATTACATTTCTCTTCATGTTGAAGCTTAATCTTCTTTTTTTAACTCCGTCGCGCTGTTATACCATAACAGGTGGAAAACAACGGTCGTAAGTACTCTTTTTCTTCCATTTGATCGCGTTCATCAATCATTTTACGTTGAAACCATTCATCTGGTATCCCTTCTAGAAACTACGACGAGGAAGTTGCGGGAAAGAAAATATTTTCTTTAGTTTACTGAAGCGTGTATTTTAGATGTTACAATTTTGTACTACCGTTTTAAAGTGCTTTGAATTTTTAATGGTTAAAAATATGAATACGAATATTATCTGTGGAAATAAAATTATTGGCTCGTGACATTCTTTTTTTAGAGGAATATTATTATTTTGATACTGCTATTTGAATAGTGAATATTAGTTGAATAAATTATCTTGAGAGAAAATCTTAATTTTGTGAAAATATGAGTTTTGTGTTAATATTTGAAATGTTACTTGCTATTTAAATAATATATGTTATAATCTTACTACTGATATTAATATTAACAATAATAGTAACAGTAGTAATAATAATATTAATAATTGTAATACTAATAGTAAGAATAATATTAATAATATTAACAGTAATAATAAGAATAATGTTAATAATGTATACTACCATGTATACCAAGATAAAAATACATGAGTGTACTATAAATATTAGAATTAAAAAATAAAATTAAGTAAAGTTAAGAAATTTGTTGATCTCACATTTTACACAGTGAACAAACTTTTTTACAAATACTTAAAAAATGTTTCATTCAATTTTCCTTAAAATAAAGTTATATTACAAAGAAATTTTATTCTATATTTTTTGCTCGTTTTTCCACGTAGATTCATTCGTTTTCCGGTTGTACAAATGAATCGCAAGATAAGAAATTTTCTTCGATCAAGTAATGAATGAATTAACTCAGTTCCGGTGAAAATTTGCCTTTTCTCTTGTTCCGCATCAACAATCATTTCAACAGCAATGTTTTCCCTCTGATTTGCGATTGGACATTCATTCGTTGAATTTTGCGTTCAATCGTGGCTCCCTTCGAAAAGTAAACGCAATCAAGATCTTATTAGACTTCCCTGGAATATCCGTTTCCGTTCAGATGGAAATCTGTGTTTCTAGAAACCGACGTAAATACACAAATATCTGTATGCAGTGCGGTGTATTAAATGAAATACAAAAAATAGAAAATTTGCGTAGTTATTTTTTATAAACTACTTAGATATTTAATAAACTATTTACAATTTTATTTATGTGATAGTTTTAATTTACACTGCTTTGCAAATATCTATTATTAATATTAATTATTGATATTGTAAGCAATAAACCTACTAGCGTATAATTTTTCATAACATTTCATTTGAAATCAATAATGGCACTGAAAGATAAATAAACAGACAACAATACATACATTAACATCCAGTTACATTTTTTTTTTCAATAAAAGTGAACGTAGATTTCAAGGAAATGAAGTTAAAAAATTTTGTAATTTGTAATAAAAAACTTTACAGGTAATTTGAGTGCTTTGGTAGTTTTAGTATTAAGCTATGAAACTATAAAGAATGCTATGAAACCATTCATATATTTACCAATTTAATATATTTTAAATAAAAATTAATATATTATTGTCAATAATTAATATCAAGAATAATTTTTATTATCAATAATAGAATAATTAATGAAATTAATATTTCAATCATAACAATAATTGCATTTTCTCCGAATATTATAAGTATTCAAATTTGTATAGCTATCGATCTGTTCAGAGCTATTCAATTATGAATAGTTGATTCTAGATACAAATTAACATTGGTCTAATACCAATCGATACGTAATCAGAATCTGGTTCACGAAATTCTTGTTCATAACATTCATAGTTTATAAACACAACTTGCATAGACTCGAATAGCGTTCGGCAAACATTGGCCAATGTTATATTCCATCCAATATTGGTTAATGTTGATTTGTTTCGTCGATACCTGATCGTTAGCCAATATTCGGTCTAGTGTTTGCTACAAATGCTATCAAACCAGTGACCAATATTTACATTACTTTATGATGCGGTTAAACAAGGGTGGAATTTATTTAACCGACGAACCTTTGACAATTTAATTTAATTTAATTTTGATGAAAATTTGGTACAACTTCAGCTTTTATTTTTTTCAATCTCGTGGGCCTGGAATATGTTCTCTGCACTCGAAAGATGACTTATAATTATTTATTTAACACTATTTCAATCAAGAGGTGTCAATTAATTCCTCAGGACCCTTGAATCTGGATTTATGGATTAATCACCACGTATTTGAATTAGAGAGAAATTATAAAATTACACGATTAATGACCACATATTGAAATTGGAAATAAAGTATAAAATTGGACGATTAATCATCACGTATTTAAATTGGGAGTAAATTATAAAATTGGATGATTAACACTATTCCTATCAAGAGATGTCAAAAGACACCGTTCAAATTTTAACTTAAAATTATTCTCTAAGTTGAATCATTTCTCCACAATTAATTTTTTGACCTTTCATACAATAGTTGTTAAATTAATTCGGCGACATCATTTTCTTCCAGCTCATTTAGGTCTACAAATGTGCATATGGTATACTTATTTCTACCAGGAGGTTTTCACACCTTAAGAATTTCATGACAGTGCTTAATTTTTAAGCATTTTACATACAAATATTAACACCATTTTGCAGCATCATATCAATTATAATGTGATTAGAGAATTCTGATTTCAGTTATAACGGAAACTACAGGAGTTGCGGCATAACTTTGATATTCGCTTATATCACGCCATGTTGCATTTTACTGTACACCGCTATATTTATATGTATTTTGTAGATTGATGAATTAAGCTAAAATTTACAACCTGATAATCTCTAATAAAAACGCATCAATATATTCCTGAAATTATCTATATTTGATAATTTGAAATCCCAAGTTTTGGCAATTATTTGTATTCAAACGGAGGGGCGTCAAAAGACACCTTTGGGTCGAAATAGGTATCACATAATCGTGATAGAAATAGTGTTAATGATTACATATTTAAGTTTGAAGTGAATTATAAAATTGAACAATTAATGATCACATATTTAACTTGGAAATAGACTATGATATTGGAGGATGAATCATCACATTCTTAAATTGGATGTAAACTATAAAATTGGAGGATTAACTTCCATGTACTTAAATTGCAAGTAAACTATAAAACTGACCAATAACCACATATTTAAATTAGAAGTACAATATAAAATTGGACGATGAAGACCACAAATTTAAATACAAAATTCACTATAAAAACGACTAAATAATGGACAACACGTAAAACAGTTTATACAATTAATGATACACATTACTGAATCGCACTATTTAAACGTTAAAATGTACGTCACATTCGGCGAATATAAATATGATTAAAAATATATGGACAATGCTCGCGAATGGAATTCATGAAGAAAACAGTGAATATTCAACGGGTCATGAATGGAAAAAACAGTGATCTTGTCGTGTCTTCATACATGTCTTCGAAGTCCTTTGATGTCTTTACACAGATCTACAAACAACTTACTCTAATTGTAAGTTAGCTCCACCTTTCTGGAGTTAACACTTTCCAAACCTGCAAAAAAGAAACATAGAAGCAAAAGAGTCTCAACAGCAAAATGTTCGATCGTCAAAGTGTTAATATGTAATAACCAAATATTGGCAGATCGCACCCCATAACGATGTCCCTAGAAATATTGCTGCCATTTGCGGGCTAGAAATCTTCCATCCTCGACTTATTGACATTCGAATGACGTATTGGCAGTCCTCACATCTGTCGTTCGCAGTTTCACTCGGCTCGACGGAATCCCTGAAGCCTCTTTCCCTTCCATTCTTTCTTTTTATTCCGCTTCATTCGTTTCCTCGCCCACTGTCGCATAATAGGGGTAATCAGCCTCTACCCCCAATTCGGCTAGAAAAAATTCAATATGCTCTTTAGAACTGAAAGTTCTTTGGGACACAAAAGAGTTTTCTATCTTCTTGAATTATTGTCCCTCGTAGAAAGCGTTATACCGTGGGGTTGCAGCAGAGATAGGGTTAATGTATCTAACGTAAGCGCCATGTCCTGACGAAAAATATTTTTTCGCGAACATTACTAACGTTCGAGCCGTTTACTTTGAAAGTGGGACAAGTCTTCTTCGTTATTGCGAGATATTTGCATTTCATTTCAAAATATTGCACTAATGGACGATTCTTTTTTATTTTGCACTCTTAGGTTATTTTATTTTATTTTATTTTATTTTTAGGTAATTTTTATCTACTTTTATTACCTTCATTTTTTTTTTCAAAATAAAGAGGTGATTTTGTATTTTAGAAAAAAATTCGATAGTTTGAAAATTTGGAAATTTGGCAGTTTCAAAATTTGGCAACTTGGAAATTTAATTTTGATTATAATAATTTAATTTCAATCTGGAATTTTAGAAATTTGGTTAGATAAAAATTGAGGAGTATGATTATTAAAAAATTTGATAATCCAAAGATTTGGTAATATGATTATTTGAAAATTTAATAATTGAATAATTTTGAAATTTCAATTTTTGGAAATTTGAAAATTTTAAGGTTTGTGACTTTGTTAATTTGATAATTTGACTATTTGGAAGTTTGAAAATTTAGAGGTTTAATATTTTGTTAATTTGATAATTTTAAAATTTAGAAATTTAAACATTTGCAAGTTTGAAACTTTATTAATTTGATCATTTGAAAATTTTAAACTTTGATGTTTTGATAACAAAAAATAATAAACTTGACCATACAAAAATTTCACAATTTAATAATTAAAAAATTTGAACATTCAAAAACTTGAAAATTTCAAGATTAAAAATTATAAAAATTTGTTAATATAGAATATTAGAAATTTGAAAATTTAAAAATGAAAAAATAATAAATATAATAATATTATTCGTACAAGAGGAATAATCGAACTAAATGTTTAACCTCAGCCTGTTGAGCATTTAATTAACACAATTTCGATGTTAATGCATTTTCTAGCAAATTAATATATTGTTCAATGCATTTTGGTGCAATTTTATCGCATCCGAGTAAAAGCAATAATAATATATTCATGATGCAATTAAAATGGACATATTTAATTAATGTGGCATGTCATAACTGTAATTATTGAACGTTATTCATTTATTGCTTTATGAAATTAATACCGTATTAACCCTTTGTTAAATAAACAAATATTCGGTACCATTAAAAACTAATTCTACACTTCAATAAATACTACCGAATTTTCTTTATAATGTTTAAAAATTGTTGAAAAGAATTATGTAGACGAATTTTTTGTTATATCCCAATTTCCCAAATTAATTAACTAAATATTTCAGTAATTAGTAATTTGCAAATACTTACATTCAAACTATAAAATTTTAATATTTCCAAATTTCCAATTACCCCAATTAATTTCTCAAATATTTAAAAAATTATAGACTTTCAAATACTTTCATTCTCAAACTATAAAATTCCAATATTTCCAAATTTCCAATTTCCCAAATTAATTTCTCAAATATTTAAAAAATTATAAATTTTCAAACCTCAGTATTTGTAAATTCCCAATTTCCTAAATTAATTTCCTAAATATTTAAAAAATTATAAACTTTCAAATACTTTCATTCTCAAACATTAAAATTCCAATATTTCCAAATTCCCAGTTTCTCGAATTAATTTTCCAAATGCTTCAAAAATTATAAATTCCCAGATATTAATATTTGCAAATATTAAAATTTCGATATTTCCTCAAATCCACGTAGTCCGATGTCAGACGCCACCATTATTAACCCTTTGCCCTCTGATTTATTCCTCGCATATATCAGCCATTCACTGCTATAATATTAAAACACATAAAGTTAAAATGTCGCATTCAGTTCATATTTAGTGGTCCTTCGCTACACAAGTTATAATTAATCTTAAGCTTCAATTTGAAGCGTATTAAAAACACGAATAAAATTTATAAAAAGGAATGCATCGCGTGTGCGTCGTGAGTGCGTCATCAAAGTACGGTAAGAGGTTAGAATGACTAATAAAGTTATTAATTTTCTAACTCGATGAAAAATTCTAGTTATACTATTCTTATCATAAAAACTACATTAATTCCTTTTTTTAATTTTAAATACTAAATTTATTAGTAACAATTTCTAATGTAATAATTTTTTCATTAGTAGCAGATAAATAAAATTAAATCAAAGCTTTGTACTCCACTAATCAAAGTACAGTAAGATTTGAATCAACTAAAGTTACTAATGTCCTAACCTAACCAAAAATCCCAGTTACACGATTCGTATTATAAAAACTACCACTAATTTTTTCTTCCAATTAATTTCAAATATTAAATCTCATAGTAACAATTTTAAATGCAATATCTTCTTTTCTTCAGTAGCATCAGATAATTAAAATTTAGTCAAAACTTTGTACTCTACTAATCAAACTACAGTAAAAGATTAGAATCAGCTAATAACGTTATTAATATTCTACCTAACCAAACCCTAATTATACGATTCTTATAAAAACTAGCACTAATTCCTTCTAATTTCAAATATTAAATCTCATAGCAATGGTTTTTAATGCACTACCTTTTTTCCATTAGTAGCACCAAATAATTAAAATTTAATCAAAGCTTTGTCCCCCGTCGGCTCTTATTTTTGCCTTCAGAAACGTATCAAATTTTCCGGCGTAAATTACATGCACAAACAATACTAACCCTTTGGTGAACGAAAAAAACAAAAGAAACGAGGCTCACACTTCGCTATTGTAAATATGAAAGTTTAACGAATATATGTTACCCCGTTCGTGCAGCATGACGTGAAAAGAAGTTAACGAGTGGAACGGGGATGGTGGGTAGGTGATTCGTGAAAATGGGAACCCACGTCGAATGCCAATGGAATTCGTGAACAGAGTTGCGTAAACTGTGGAGTAATGAGACAGGAAAATCATGGTCTCGTGGCTTAGCCAGGTATTGTTTAAATTCCTGCCGTTGCACTGCGGTCGAGGATACAACGTGAATGGCAGAATGCCAGGACGAATCAAATACTCTGCCTTATATGCACCTCCTTCGCCTAAGACTCTCAAAAACTATCGATACCCTTTTATCGGTTCATTACAATAGCATTGTTATCTATACGTTTTGATCATTTGAAAACTTGAACATTTGGAAAATTAAGAATTTGTGTTGTTCCTAAATCTGAAAATTTATGCATTTTTTATTTTTAGCATTTCTAAATTTTTAATTTTTATGATTTCTAAATTTCTACATTTATCAATTTAAATTTGCAAATTTTCCATTCTTCAGATTTTGAAGTTTCTATTTTTTAAATTTCTAAATTTTCAATTCTTCAGGTTCCCTTTTCAATTTCGATTTCTACATTCTTATATTTTTCAAATTTTGATTCTCTAAATTTCTACACTTTTCATTTTTGTATTTGTTAGCTTTTAGTTCTTCACATTTCACACTTTGTATGCTCTTTAATTTTCAGTTCTCTGCATACTTAAATTTCTATATTTATCAATTTTACAAATTTCTAATTTTCTACATTTATTGATTTTCAATTTTATAAATTTCTAACTTTCTACATTCATCAGTTTTCAGTTCAAGTCCCTAAATTTTTTCATGATTCAAGTTCTACAAATCTCTAAAATTCCACATTTATCAATTGCAATTTCAAAATTTATACTTTTATCAATTTTCAATTTTTCCAATTTCAAAATTTATATATTTATCAATTTTAAATTATAAAAAATTGATATTTCTAAGTTCATCCATTTTTAACACTTTAGCGTCCTAAATTTTTATATTTATCAATTTTCAATTTTTTAAATTTCTGAATTTCTAAACTTTTACATACATCAATTTTTAATTTTTTAAATTTCTGAATTTCTAAACTTTTACATACATCAATTTTCAATTTTCTAAATTTTTACATGAAAATGTTCAATTTTCTACATTTTTACGTGTATCAATTTTCAATTTTCCATATTTTTAAATTTTCTAATTTCCAAATTTGAAAATGTTCCTAAGTTTGTTATGATACTTAAAATGTTTATACAGTCAATAAATATCGAATTGATATCACTTCTGTCATTGGTAACGATATGTTACTAACGCAATCACAGCTATCCGTAGTATGGCGCCGAGAAACAAAGAAGAAAACGAAAAGGCGCCAAGAAATCGCGTGGGCTCGTTTCAATTGCACATTTGCCAAGATGACTCAGCCAGTAGTACGTATGTACGTGTAAGCGTACAGTCAATAGCAAATCTGGCTTGCCTAGGGAAAATTATAACTAATACCTAGAATGACATTTCATTTGTTCATTTCTAGGAATTTTTGATAATTAAGAAGTTTAGAGACGAATTGTGAAATTGAGAAGAAAAAAATTTGTGGATCTATATACGTGAAATTTAGAAATTTGAAAAACTAAAAATTTGGAAAATTGGAAATATAATAAAAATTTAGTAATTTAAAAATTCAAAAATTTAGTAAATTGTAAAGTTACGAAATTTGAAAATGTAAAAATTAAGTTTGGAAATGATTTGGGAACTTGAAAATTTGAAAATTCCAACTCGAAAAAATTAAAAAATTGAAGAATACGAAAGTTTGGAAAATAAAAAATTGCCATATGTACATACATATGTACGTCACCCAAAAGAAGCCTACATTGCGCTCGAGTGTACGAGAAGCAAAGTAGTACGAACACACGTTTTCTCGCACGTGTTGGCGACGCTTCGGTGTCCGGCACTCACGTGCTTCTCCGTGGAATACTCGTATTCTAATTTAATAGAAGGTGGCATCCGACAAAGTGACATTTCGCATTTCAAACCGTCCGTTATCCACCGAATTCATCGTTATACAATACACACTTATTACATAATTAAAACACGTTATATGTATGTAAATTACGCCTGAACACGATGCATCACTAACGATTACACGACATTGTCAATCTTGAATATGAAAAGTAAAAAGAAGCGTCTCTCTCCTATAAAGTATCATGTAGAGGCAACGGTCACCTTAAATTTTTCAGTTTTACCGCATGAGGCCCCCAAAGTCAATTAAAAGTTAATTCCCCACTCTATTATATCTATAAGATCCCTTGATTATCGGGTATTCTCCGCAAATGAATATATATTTTGGAAACTTGATATTTGATAGCATGTTTTTTTCATTTTTTTAACTATCTAGATATTTCTGCTAAAATGTGAAGTTCAAAGATTAATCACAATGTCTCTAGGGAACAAAAGGCGATCAACACTGACGATCAACACACTTGCATCGTGTGTAAAGTAATGTAGCACCGTTTGGCGGCGTATGTCTTCAGTTTGTTTCTCGTTTTGTTACAAGATTTTATAATTATAAATTCATATAATTGTTTAACATGGCAAATTATATTAAAAGTGCCAGTTTCAATTATAACAAAAAGTTTACCTCTTCCACATCAAATGATCTTCAGACATTTTGCTCTTTCCCGAAATTTTCGTTATTTGATGATACATACGAGTGTTGTGAGTCTGCTTTAAACTATGGATTTGCAGCATTGGATGACCATGTTTTTGAATGTCTTGTATGCGGTCAAAAATTAAAAAACAATAGTATGATTGTAAAAGAATCAAAGAAACACTTTATTAATTTACATGGTAATTTAATAAGTAAATTACTATACGATTATTTTAGTAATTTGCATCATTTAAAGATACAATCAGTGGACCAGACAGTAGAAATGATTCAGAACAAACAAATAGTAAGTTACAAAGTAGCTAAAATGATTGTCGATAAAGTGCAGCCTTATACGATTTCAGAAACTTTGATTCTACCTGCTTGTAAAGAAATAGTTAAATGCATGTTTGGAAACAATGCAGAGAAAATAATGAATGTACCATTGTCAAATCATTCTATTTATCAATGCATAAGAGAGATGTCCTCAGATGTTCAAAAACAGTTAATTGAAAAATTACATAACAAGAAGTTTTCTCTTCAATTGGACGTATCTGGAAATTCACAAGTACTAAGTTACATAAGATTCATAGATGGAGATTCTATCGTACAACAGTTCTTTGCCTCCACAGAATTACTTACGACCTCAAATATAGTTGAATTTTATAGTGCTATGACAACCACATTGATAAAGCATAAGCTATGTTGGGAAAATTGTGTTTCAATTTGTATAGATTGTGTATTCATTGAAATTGCACAGAATTTTGTTAGTTGCTTGAAGAAAGTTTTTCCTTGCATACAGATTACGCATAATTTTTCAAGTAGAGAATATTTGATAAAATACACAATTCCAGGAGCTTTAAAGAATGTACTGTATTCAGTAGTTAAAATGATTAAGTACATTAGAATTAGACCAGCTGATTACGAAGTTTTCAATGTCCTCTGCCAGGAAACAGGGAACAATACTGAAACATTGATCTTTAATAGTTATTCTCGCTGGATGTCCAGAACTAACATACTCGCAAAGTTTTATGACAATAGAAGCGAATTATTAAAAATTTTTATGGTGGAGAAACCTAAGTTCGCTATGTTAATTAAAAACAAACAATGGTGTTCAAAACTTGCATATCTAGTTGACATTCTTGAGTGTGTAAACAAATTTAGCACAGAAAAGGACCAAGAAAATATTTTTAAATTTAACGACAAATTGCAATTCTTTTTGATGACACTTAGAGTATGGATAGAAAAAGTTAAGATAAAGGACTTTACAATGTTTCCTCGCACATATGATACCAATATAGATATTTCTAATTTGATCGCAAATCATCTCTCATCTTTGGAGAAGGAATTACAAAAATATTTTCCTTCTTTTGAAGTGACTCAATATAGTTGGGTTTGTAATCCCTTTACAATTAATTCTAAAGCCAGACAATATTTATCAGTGGAAAAAACAAAGGAATTGACAAAACTTTGGGCTAATCAAACTCTTCAATTGAAATTTAAAGAAAAAACCTTATTCGAGTTTTGGAATGAGGTAAAAAATGAATTTCCGCTGCTAGCAGAAGATGCTTTATGTACATTTATACACTTTTCGTCAAGTGAATTGTTAGAACTAGGTTTTTCTATATTTCTAAACATTACACACAAGAAAAGGGATGGACCATATTCCATAGATGAAGAACTACGAGTACGTTTATCTATGATTCAACCTCGTTTTGAGTTGCTGTGTAATAGCAAAGAACCCAGCAGTTGACTTAAGAAAATGTAATATTTTTTGCTCGTTATTTTGAACTATTTTTCAGTCTTTATCATCTATAATCTACATTTTTCTTTTTCATTAATAAATTAAGTGTATAATATAAATTTTATATTCTTTATTTTTTACTGTTTCTTGCTTTTCATAAAAAAGTCATGCGGTATCAGCTATTGATACAGTTACCCTATGTAAGATTTATTTTGCAAAAGATAGTGACTCATCACCACTTGTAATTGGCGTAATGCGGTTACGACATTGATTCTTTCTCGGCCGCATAAACGGATTCGTCACAATCGCCACGGCCAAGATCTTCATCAAGGCAAACGTCAATGATACGTTCAGACCCTCGTCATTATGTAAGAGAAAATTGTATCGGTCGATTGAATGGCGTGTATACACTACTGGAACAAAATTATAAGTTCACTTAATTTTTAAGTAATTTACTGATAGCAAGATGTTTGGGTAATTTATGGATAAAACATTGGTTTTTCTTTTTGTTGCATTACATTACAGTGCAGAAAAATATTGATATCAGAATTGGCAATTTTTATACACACAATTGTTTTTCTTAAGAAAATTTTTTGTATGAAAACTGTTATTTGTATGTTTAAGTAATACATTTATAAAATAAATCATTTATTTAATAACTAATTAGGAACTGTATCTAATTATTAATTCCTATTACATTATATTACACTATCTGGAAAATTATTTTAATACTCTTAGCAAGATATGCAATACCATAATGAATTGAATAATTATGGTACCTATATGTATAGATATCTGTATATGGTATTGAAGTTACAAAAATTATATAGGAAAAATAATTGTAGCGTCTTATACATTGTTGCATAGCATTTATTTAATTTAATACAAATTTCCTGGTTTTATGTTTATTATTATTTTTATATAATAAAAAAATATTATAATAGAAAATATGTATAATATATAATAGAAAAAAAATACCACGAACTACAAATATTAATTATTTTCTTATAATTTCGCACAGGATTTTTCGAAAATATTTTCCACCTTTCGAAGGAAAAAGGAAAACGAAGTAACCACCACATTCACGTGAAACGAAAACTCATCGTGTTCCACCATCTGTTGTGGGTGTTCATGGTTAAATTGGGTCAATCGGTTTCCGATCCTAATCCCGCCCGTGACGCATCATTCTTATTTACTGCGCCAGTTTTAGACAATTTTCTCGCGAGCCGTGACTTTCAGAATTAATAAAAACAACAGAGGAACGTATAATTCATTCAGAAAATCACTTGCAGCTTTCCCCATTCGTTAACTCAGCGGTTCTCAACTTCTTCAGTTACGTGCGCTTTTAATACACCAGAATTCTATCGTTTTTTGCAGAGGATAAAGCGCTTGAAGGACGTTTGCAATTTTCTGTTGCTGTTGATGGCAATATGCAGCACAAACGCATCAAAATGCAACAGACTCATAGACGGAACGACGATGCCTCGTTCAAGTGCAGAAGGAAAATACCATTTATTCATGACATTGTTCAATCGGACGGAAATGGTCTTCTCCTACATGCCAAATACCCGATACACTGGTAAGTACATTTTTATTACTAAAATTTAATCGACATCTACCGTTATATTTTATTTGAATATTAGTCGAAATATAAGGTGTTTTAAGTGGACGCGACTTTTCTTGATACGTACTTTATTATTTCGGCTCTTATACTCGGCTTCTGTTGCAACGGACGCGACATAAAAAACAATAGGGGGGCGGGGTAACGGTTTAACACATTTCCGCGCGACATTCAAAAACCCTCTAGGAGATAGAGGAGAGATTTATTCTCTACAACCATATACAAATAACTGAAACTATATTTCAAATAAACAGAAGAAATAAATTGTAGTGGAACAAGTGGTGTATGATGTGTGTTTCTGTAATATTAATTGTTAAATATATTGAAAATTATTTTCATCTTAAAGGGCAAATAAAAGGAAATAAATTTACACGTGGTTTAACTGATACGACGCGGACATAATGAACTTTGTCTTGAAAAGTTAGGAGAGACTTGAATCAAACTGGTGGAAGTTTTAATTCTCTTCGTGACTACTTTGAATAGTTAAATGGACTCGCAGTTGAAAGCACCGGAATGCAAATTGCTCGTTTGTTGTCCACGATGAGAAATTCACTCGAGTATGGCGTTTTCAATTATTGGCCAAACAGCAGACACTACGGAAGGAAGTATTGATATTATTTATGAAATTACACGTTCATTATAAAATTATAAATTATATGATAGGGTAGCGGATTCTTAACTTAATATTATTTTCAATTAATCATTTTTTAAAATTACATTTAAAAGTACTTTAAATTAAGATATAATATAAATAAATTGTTCTCGTTGAAATTAAAATAAAAATTAGCTGTTTGATAAAAAATTTGTTTTATCAAGAAAATATTTTTAATGTGTGGAATTTTTTACATTTACAAAATTTCAAAAAAAATATTGTAAAATAAATTAGCTACTATTAAAATTAAAATAAAAATTGTTTATTTGGTAAGAAATTAGTTCACATTAAAAATTGACAAATTGGAAAATTGTAGAAGTTACAAATTCACAAAATTGGAAAATTCTGTATTTATATTTATAAACATAAACATCATTTTGGTATTATTTTTTATTTAAATAAAATGGCACTTGTAATGTAATTTTTTCTGTAAATATAATTATAATTTCAACGTAATTTTTTATGTAACGTTTTTTTATAAATATAAATACAGTTTGTTAATGAAGTAAAAATAAATAAATATAAATGTGAATCTTACTTTTGCTAGTGTAAAATTTTCAAACTCGTAAACGTAGAAATGGACAAATAAATAAGCACAAAAATGAAAAATTCTCAATTTATAAAGTTGACAACTAGCCATTAGCACGTCCACAAACGATGCAGTCGGCCATCATTGATTCACACCGCGCGTTCTTGATTCGAACGTGCAGTAATGAAACGGTTAAATAACTCGCTACTAAGATTATCCCAGAAACGATTCAAACGATGCAATTCTTCGAAGATGTTTGTCCATTGGTTCATCGTCAATTAACGTCGATCGATCGGACGTTCGCGTGTCTTGCTCGCGATTAATCGGTCCCTGAGCACATTTAATCCACTTTGTCGACTATCGAGCGAAACGCGCGATGCAATTATCGAAAACTAAGCCGAACAACGTGGTCCGGAGACGATCCATGGCTACTAAAGCATGCAAATCCGGCGAGTCTGTGAATTAATGCGTTACGTAACGTTGGCCAGCAGCCAGGTGCGAGTTCTGCGTGAATGCGGTTCGACGAATGCACCGGTTGCACTCGGTGCGATTCTAAGCCCCATGAAGACGTTTAACGGGAAGAACAATGAACAGCCCGTGCTAAAGAGCAGTCGCGTTTCGAGATCGTTGTTGTTGCGAGAAATTCGCCGAACTTCTAACTGAGGTATTTACGTAGGTACAATACGCGCACCGTTCCTCCCAGCAATTTTGTCGTGCCGTGGAATAATATATCTTGCCAGTTACCGAATTCTCAGATTTACGAATTTTCACCTCAAGGAGATCGAAGATTCTTCATTTTTTAATGTGTGTAATCGCAATTTTGAGATTTGCAAATTTAGGCTGAGATGATTTTCAGATTTTCAAATTTACGCAGAGGTAATTTTTAGATTTTCAAATTTATGAAGTGTCAATTGTCAAATTTTTAAATTGACACATTGGTCATTTTCAAACCTTCAAATCTGCACGTTTCTAATTTACGAATTTACAAATTAATGTAGTATTAATATCCAAATTTTTAAATTAACGCATTCGTAATTTTCAAACCTTGAAATCTGCACGTTTCTAATTTATAAAATTTGTTAATTTATGCAGTGTTATTTTTCAAATTTACACGGTTTACCAATTTTTTAGTTTTCGAATGTAACAGTTTACTGATTTATCGATTTTTCAATTGATCGATTCACCAATTTATTAATTCATCAGTTTGTCAATCCACCAATTTATTGATTTATCAATTTACTGATTCATAATTTTATCAATTCACTAATTTATCAATTTATTAATCTATCAATTTATCGATTTATCAATTTACTGATTCATATTATTATCAATTCACTAATTTATCAATCTATCAATTCATTGATCTGTCAATTTATCACTTTATCAATCCATCAATTTATCAATCTATCAATTTAACAATGTGTCAATTCACCAATTTATTGATTTATCAATTCATCAATTTTCTTATTTATCAATTTATCAAGCTACCAATTGTCAATCTATCAATTTATCAGTTTGCCAATTTATCTATTCATTAATTTATCAATTTACTAATTTATTAATCTATCAATGCATCATTTCATAAATTTATCAATCTATCAATTCAGTAATTCATGAATTTATTTCTTCACTAATTTACCATTTTACTCATTTATCAATATAATAAATTATTTACTGTATGAATTCACCACTTCATCAATTTATTCATCTACCAATTTACTATTTTATCAATTTACAAATTTACATCACACTATCACTCGAAATTTATGTTCCTGTTATTAATAATCTTCATAACCATCGCTTGTTTCGCATAAAAAAATGACTGCATCCCGCATTTCTATTTTTGCACCAGTTGCAATTGGAAATCAATTGGGATTTGAAAATCCAATGCAAGGATTATTCCAGAACGGTGTTTCTTGTTGTTTTCTTGTTACCATTCGTAAACTACATATTTTCGCTTTTATTGAAAGCACGGTTTCCCTTTTAATCAGAATCCTGAAAAACAATATCGCATCAACAACGATCGATTCAGATACGTAACAAACCACACGAATTTCATTTTCCTGCCTATTGTTTACTTCTTGTTGCATATTTCCATTCATACAACTTTTATAATATCATTGTTCTTTTCGCAGAATTCGATTACAACAAAACATAATCGAACTCGACAAATACCGGTTTTGCAAATTCCCTCGAAACTACAGAATAAAATTATTTTAAAACGACTTAATTGAATAAAGTGGCTTACCGGTTTCTTCTTTTGCTTCGCACTTGAACGCGGTGGGCAAAGACAATGGAAACGGCCACTGGAAAATGTGGTTTATGATCATCCTTCAAAACCAGGTACCGCGGTCATAAAAAGAGGATTTAATGAATAATAAGAACGCGACGCTAAGCGAATACCGCTTTTCATCGCTGCAGTGGAAGCTCGTCGTTTCTAACAATTCGTTTTCGAAATTAATGTTCACTGCACCAATTGTTTTTTGATCAAAACTGTTTTGTTAGGTATTTTTGAGGAATTTGAACTTCGGAATTTGAAGGTTTGACAATTTCCAGATTTTAAGAATTTTTGAAATTTGATCTTTTTTGAAAATTGACAGATTTGTGAATTTTAGGAATTCTGGAATTTGAGACATTTGATATTTACAGGTCGAAAATGTGTTTTTTGAAGTGTAGAGTATAGTAAGAGGTATAGTAATAATTTTGAAAATCGAAAATGGAATAAAAGCTATAATAATAATTTAAAAAATCTGGAATATAATAAAAAATTTAATAATAATTTTAAAAATATAAAATATGACAAAAAATTTAATAATAATAATTTAAAGAATCTAGAATATAAAAAAAATAATTTAAAAAATCCAGAATATAACAAAAGATAAAATAATAATTTTAAAAATCCAGAATATGATAATAATATAATAATACAAATAAAAAGAAGATAATTAATATATGAAGAAGCTCATTTCTTTCGTATGCTAAAAGTTGATTAAAAACAAAATTATATATAATATTTTGTTGTTTTTCACGAAATTAAACAGAGAAAATGCATTCTCAATTAGCAATAATTGTAACAACATGGCGTCCTCAACGAGGAATAAATAAACATGTACAATGTGATACAGATGTTCTGACGCTAAAGCAGAAGTTCTCAACTTTTAGTTTAATGTATGCATTTAGTAATTAATACGGAAATTTGTACTTATTTTATGAAACAATTAGTCAATTTTGTTATTACAAAAATATTATGAATATATTTTACGTTACAAATTAAAAATGATAAATTTGTATAAATATTAACAAAAGCGAATTACTAATACTATAAAAAGCTATGAACATCAAAAACACATATAATAAAAAGCTATATAATAAATCCCTTTATATTTTCAATATTTTTATAAACCCTACCGCGTAAAATAGTACATTTAACTTTACCCTACATCTCTTACAATAATTTCTATAGCCACATTATCCTTGGTACAGACTTCATTTTATTTCTTGCTGAACAAAATTAACTCGATAAAAAAACACATTTGTATTTAAAATTTTCAAACAAAAACTGCGTTAAAGCGAGTTAGCGAATTCCGTTTCTTTTAATAAATTGCTTGGAAGCTCGTTTTTAGATCCAGGCTCCTTTCAATCGAAACGCATCAAACGAAGTAACTAAAGTTTAATTGAAAACGCAAACCCTCTGGCGATAGGAAGATAAATCCTTTTAGCGGGTTCTAAAAAAGAAAACAAAGATACAACTAAAATCGTTTCATTCTCTAAAATAGTGAAGATGGTCTCGATACCCTATCGAAATTCATCTTTTCTGAAATATCAAAGATTTACTTAGGTAGATTGGTATTCAAACTTTTCTAAAATATCAAAAGTTTCGATGAAATTCAAATCCGATTTTTCTAAAATATCAAGGGTTTTCTTCGGTATTATCCATATACAACTTTTCTAAAATATTAAAGATTTTCTTCGATGAAATTCAAACCTCGCCATTTATTGATAGAGTAAAGGGTTACCATTGTTTCCGTAGAAAATTTCTCTTAACTGGTCAACTACTGGTACCTTTACCTTAATTGAAATCCAATTTTTCTAAAATATCGAAAGTGTCATTCAATATAATTAAAATTCAACATAAAAAATTCTACTAATA